TGTTTTTTTTATTATTATTAAAGTAATGCTGGTTGTCAGCCACATTTCAGGAACCACCAATAGGATAGGACTTCTGGTTTAAAGAAAAAAAAGCTACTTTAGACCAATTCATGAACCTTTAGGTCAAAGAATTTTGATGCAGAGCCTCAGTTCTGCCATCATGAATCATAGTTAAGAAATCTTGTTGGTTACTTGATAATGGGGGGGGTCTAGTAACCGTAATGTTGCTCATGTCATTGTACATTAATGATACCAAAATAAAAAAATTGAAAAAATTAAAAAATCTTTTGATTCAGTTGTGTGAACCATTTAATAAAAGCATTTTGAGTTGAATTTGTGGAATCAATCAAGTTTTAGCAAGGTCATTTTCCTATTAAAAAATAAACTTTTCCCCTGTATTTTAGTTGGAGATTGGGTGCCGTGGTAAATTTTTTCTAATGGACTCAGATGTTTGGTTGGAGAAAAGATTGTGCTGGCGATGGTGTGCTGAGCGCAGGAGAAAGTGTGACGTGCATGCTTTCCTCACAGTCTTTTCCTCCCCCATCCCATCCCACTTCAAATTTAAATTCATTAAGGCTGAATTGTGCTGTAAGTGTCCTACATTATAATCCTGTGGCCCTGAATAGTTCCTGGCAAGCATGCTAGTCGCTCCTCTGTGTAGCAGTACATCCTCAAATCGCTGCCTTTTTGAGCTCTCCTGTCAGACTCTGGAGAGCAGGCTGTATGTCTGTCTTTGGTGCCAGTTAGTGTTCACTGATTACATCTTGAAATGAATCACGTTTCTCACTGCTTCATGCCACAGGGATTTTTCAACTTTTTCCGCAATTCCTGAGAGTATATTCATGGCTAGTAACGAGCAACCGTCGCAGTGATTCTGGTGGTGCCTGCTCATTGCCCTGTATTCGCAAACCTTCTGAGTACTTCCAGTTAAGTTTTAGCTCTCTGATGAGTCCTTTTCAGTTCCTTCACTCTTCATTGTTGCTCCAATTTTTGAGGTTTTGTTAGCACTTGTATACAGTTGTTATCACTTTAGTTAGAGGTTTAGCTTTGATAAAATGAGTTACTGTTTAGCACAATTCTACAATGTGAAATCATAATGACTTCTTAAGCATCTATGTTTTTTTTCTCTCCACTTTTCTGTCTTCAGTTATAATTTTGGTAATACAATGACTAAGATTATAAAAGAAGTTACTTTGTAATATTTGGGACAGTTTTAATGCTGGTATGGACTCATGTATACAAACATTGGAGAATTAAGCCTGGGCATTCCAGTTTGCTGAACAGACTTGTTACTACATTGGCTAAAGGAATAATACATTTTATGCAAAGTAATATCTTTGAGCAAAAGGGATCCTTGAAATTATTTACATTAACCTCATTGTTCAGGTTGAGAAAACATGCAGAGAAGTGAGTGGCTTGCCTCTCACTTGAAAGCTTGAAACCCAAGGATATGCTGCAACCTTGTGAACCCAGGAGTGTTTTTATTTGCAAAACATACAGCTGGGGACCAGATACCACAAAGTCTGAGATCCGTTATAGGAACTGAAAAGTGATACTCATTTAATCAGAACGCTGTGCTGTACCTGATGAAGGGTCTAATATGATGTAGGCACCTGAGAGGACAGTGCTGATTTCCTGAAGCTTTGAAGGTTTGTTTAAGACAGACAGGATGAAGTCAGTGTTTCAGGTGGGTTTTTTCCTTAGCAATTTGGTTCTGTTATTAGTATATATTTAATAACCATAGGCAAATTACGTGTCCTCCTTCTACCTGTGTTTCTCTCTCTTGTCCTCCCTCCTCACTCCCCAACCCCTCCAGGCCCCCCTTACCCTCCACTCCAGATGTGATATAAATATGCTTTTGGGGACAGCCTGACTTCCAGTGTAATTGTGGTGGTCTGTTAATGTAGCTCAAGTGAATACACAGTGAGTAGAAATCACAGTAATTATTTTTATGAAGGCTAAATCTCATTTCTTGTTCTGCATTTGTATATATAGAGAGTTCCTTGAAATAATAGTCCTGCATGAAGCCTGAAGAGTAGTTTTAATGACTTCTGATGTTTTTTCTGTCTGGGTCACTGATTTTTCAACTTCATGTATCAAGTTTTTTTGCTGTCTCAGAAAAGGTGTTATATTATTACTATGAAAATTTTTTGGCAGCCCGTATTGAAGGATAATCAGGAGGTCCAGGTGTTTCGCTCTGATTCTGCCGCTGTGTCAGTCTGCTAGGGCTGCCGCAATAAAGTACCGCAGTCTTGTGGCCGAAACGAAAATTTATTTTTTTGGCTGTTTGAGAAGTAAGAAGGTGTAGGCAGGCTTAGATTCTTCTAAGGCCTCTCACCTTGATTTGTAGTTGGCTGTCTTCTCCCTGGCCTGCCTTCTGTGCATGTCTGTGTCCTAATCTGTTACAAAGACACATCATATGGATTAGGGCCCTGTCTCTAAACACAGTCATCTTCTGACGTATTGGAAGGTGGGATTTACCATGTGAATTTTGGGTAGGGGATGGGTTGAGTTGAGGGAGACGGGCACAGACGAGACACAGTTCAGCCCATTAAGCCACTAAGAGGCTCTATTTTGACTTTGGGCAAGTAACACTTGTTTGCAGGAATGACGCCGAAATGTGTGAGGCGTATGTGAAGGCTGGTCACTGTATTGTGAGGAGGTTTGTTTTGTTCTGTTTTAGGGCTGGATCTTGATGTAGAATGTATCGTACCCCTCCTCCCTCTTCTTCATGCTGGACCTTTATTTCTGGAACAGAAGTAGTACTTGGCCATTCAAGGAAAAGTTACAGGCATTTTCTTTTTCCAGAACAAGTTTTACTCAACAGATTTGTAAATGGAAAGGAGTTTTCTCCAATCCTTTGTGAAGGTCTTAAGTAAAGGAGTAATAATTTTCTTTAGGTTTAGCATATAAATTATTCAAGGTTGTTAGTAACAACATATTGATCATTTCACATTTGACTTCAGTCATTTTCCTCATTTTTGTTCAGTGGAACCTTGATTTGGCTCTTGGTTAGTGCTTTCTATCCATGTACCCGTCACTTAGCGTCAACACCATGAACTCGTGTTAATGTTTCATCCGCCCTCCAGCAAAAATTTTTTTTCCAGTGGATTAAACCCCCCATTCTTTAACTGAGGTAAAAGTCGCACGACATAAAATTCACTGTTGTAACCATTATTTGTGTCCAATTCAGTGTCACTTAGTACATTCACCGTGTTCTGTAGCCAGCCACTTTTACTTTTACCTAGTTCCAAAACTTTGGTCATCCCCAAAGGAAACCCCATTCCCATAAGCAGTCACTGTCCGTGCCCTTCTTCCCTGCCCCTGGCAGCCACTAACGTGCCTTCTGTATGTGTATAAGCCTGTTGGGATTTTTCATATGAACGGAATCACACACTATGTGACCTTTCACATCTGGCTTCTTGCACTTATATAATATTTTTGAGATTCATCCATGTTGTAGCATGTATTAGTACTTCATTTTTTTTATGGCTGAATAACTTTTAAGCCTCTTTTGATATATGTAAAAATCTTTATTCTCATTTGATAGCTCTAATATTAGAAACTGGAATATTAGGATAATTCCATTCTAATAAAATTAGAAATCTGATGGTTGTAAAGTGAAAAAATAGTAATTACAAAATACTTATAAAAAGCAGTACCCTTTTAGAATTACTGGCCTAGACTTCTGAATTGAATTGAAGCCATCTGAAATCTGGATGCTGAAACATTGTTTGATTTATGGGATAGTTGAATAAACATTCCTTCACCAACCTTCCTGAGTCAGATGTTTGGTGCATTTGGTGCATTCTGATTTAATTCGTACACAGCCTTAAGAGAGAGACAGGACGTTTCTCATCTCATTATAAAACAACATTTGTCAGGGACCTGCTGGGATTGCTCCAGAGTATTAGAAATAATATGTATTGACTGCACATTTTTATCACACTATTTTTGGTATTGTGGGCATCAGCACTGTTCCTCTCCCTCCGCTCTTATCCCCCACCCCCATTATCACCATTATTAAATGGTTTCAGGTGAGACTAAAGTGACAAGGATCAATGAAGTAATACTCTTTATCTAAAGGAAATGATACGTTTTTTTTCAGGTCCTTTATTTAGTGTTTTAAATGAGGAAAGGCAAATGTAATAATAGAAAAATAATGGAGAATACTGTCTTTCCTGCTATTAAAACAAAAAGAATTGTGGAAATGCTTCACACACACACCCTTTATGTGTTTTTCATGGTTTGATTTAAAATATGTTTAAAAGTGTGTTCTAAAATCATGCATATTTGTATTATTGGAATGTAAGTTTAATTGGAGAGCATTCAAGTTGAAAAACTAAGCTCTTAACATTTTTTCTGTTCAGATGTTACCTTAATGTCTGTATAAAAATATAAATTTACATAAATTTCGATGGCAGTTATTTTGAGTCTGAAATTAGATGCATATACTTTAAGCATTATTATGAATAGGATAGCATATTGCTCTTTTTATGCTACTTCTAGGAAATTTAAAAGGGCAAAAGTCAGGCTTTAAAGTTTTTCAGTGACTCTTGTATGAAATCAGGTCTTAAGATAAATAACTTGTTTTACTATCAAACATCTAATGAAAACTTCATTTAAAAAATACGAAGTTCTTCCATGATTCTACCTCTCCCCAGCTTACTTCCTCCGCCACACCCACCCCCGCCCTGCCCCAACACGCCACACACAACACACAACACACTGACCCCAAGCTGTTGTAAGTGGGGTTTCTCCTTCCCCCGGGCTGACGTTTACAACAAATGCTTAGCAGCACTTAGTGTGAATTGGCCTTTTTGGGATGTGTGGCTGGTCTCTGCCATTAAATCTAACAGTTCATTTTGTAAGTAGATTGACTAACAGGTAGAAGTGATGCATATTAGAAAAAGGAAGTGTAAAAATGTTTATTTAAAAATGTTTTCAGGCAATGTTGCAGTGCTGATATTTGTAGTGAAATTACTTTTTCCCTATTCTAGTCCTAGAACGAACACATCACCATGGCCACAGAAATTGGTTCTCCTCCTCGTTTTTTCCATATGCCAAGGTTCCAGCACCAGGCCCCTCGACAGCTGTTTTATAAACGACCTGATTTTGCGCAGCAGCAAGCCATGCAGCAGCTCACCTTCGATGGGAAGCGCATGAGAAAGGCAGTGAACCGGAAAACTATAGACTATAATCCATCTGTGATTAAGTATTTGGAGGTAAGTCCAGTTAATGTGTTTTGGATGACCAAACTTTGGCTTTTTAGAAGGAAGAAAATTCTTTTAAATACAGGGTAATAAGTATACCTGTGTTTCTTGAGTTAATGGGATGAAGTGGAATTTCAGATGAAGCCACTTACCAGAGCTGCTCCCCCCGTCTTTTAAGGTCTGATGGATACACCCTCTTATGAAGGTTCCACGTAAAAAAACAATGTGGTCACTACATTCACCCATATTATCAAGTCCCCCCCACACCCCAGTGCAGTCACTGTCCATCAGTGCAGCAAGTTACCAGAGATCGACTGTGTGCCTTCTCTGTGCTACACTGTTCTCCCCATGCCCCCCCACACCATGTGCACTAAACATGATACCCCTCAGTCCCCTTCTCCCTCCCTCCCCACCCGCCCTCCCACACCCCTCCCCTTTGGGAACCACTAGTTCATTCTTGGGGTCTCTGAGTCTGCTGCCATTTTGTTCCGTCCGTTTTTCATAGCCAGGTATCTTGGGGAAACTAGAATTCTGGATCTAGTTTATGTTTCGATGACTAGTATTAGGACTCAGTATAGATAAGGCTGCATTACTGAAACAATACTTTTCTCTAAAATCACCCTCCTTTTTATTAGAAGTAATCAGATTAAGAAAATTAACACTTGGCTTGACTCTTTGCATAAGTGCAGCAAGAAGAAGAATTGATTACATAGGATCTTTTAAATGCAGCACCCCCTTTTTTTTTTTTTAACTCTTTGCACGTCATTTGAAGAATCATCTAAAAAATGAGAGCCCAGTTTTAAAAAGTTAGACTCTAATAGATGTAAGCTTTATTCTAAAGGTTCATAACAAACCTCGGAAGATGGTACTTTAATCCCTCAGCCAACCTTAAAACACCTTTTAAACCCACAGTATATGAAATGTTAAGAGACTACCAGCTAGGAATATTCCTGTGAACACAAACTCCAAACAGCAACTCCTTGTCTGAGACCCTGGCACTAGGAACATGGACTGTCTGAGCCCCTGGTGTTGGTAGCTTTTATAGTCAAGGAAAAGTGCTGTACTTAACTTGATAGTTGAGCACCTACCACAGTCCTATAGGGTGAAAAGCCACTCTGAGATGGCAAATAAAGGCCGATACATCTCTGTCAGTTCAACATTTCTCCCTTTTGAGTTCTTTATGTAGTTGCCTTAACATAGGAATTAGCTGCTCTCATTTGCTTCTCATTTCTAACCCCTAACTACTTTAATTGGGTTTTTTCTGCTCTGGCCTCCAGTGAAAAAACTGTGTCTGCTTTTCATTACCTGAGACCTGTTGTTAAGAGACCTGTTTGCATACTGGACGTAATTAATATGTCACAGACTTGTGGGAGAAAAAGATTCTTTCAGAGTAAAGACAGATTTAGGCTTTTCCAGGTATTTCAGTTGGAAAACTAGACTAGGAGTTGTCAACTATTCTTCAAAAAGAACAGAAGGACGGAAAGACTAGACTAGGGGAGTTCGAGAAGAATTAAGAAAACCAAGAACAAGATAGGAGGAATTGTTTTGTGCTGAGGATTTCAAAGGATTGAGAGTGTCCATCAACCCTGTTTTCTCCCATTTAATAACAGCTTGTATTGTTGACCTTTACTTTCGTTTCAGCTTGAGTATGATTAGACCATAATCAATGACTGAATGAATTATTTTTTAACAGAATAGAATATGGCAAAGAGACCAGAGAGATATGCGAGCAATTCAGCCTGATGCAGGTTATTATAATGATGTAAGTATAGATAAGTTAGTAGCTTAATAACAACCTCTTTGCTTAGACATTTGAACCTAAAAATATGTGCTTTCAAATTCAAACATGGACTTTTCTTTTTTGCATTCTTATAATTAAAATAAAATATTCCTAAAGATATAATATGACATATCTTTGTGAACTGTGGGTTATTTTTTATCTTAGTTAAAATTTTTCTTTTACTCTAATAATGGATAAACTTTTGATTTGGGTCTTAAAGCAATGTCCAACAAAAGATTGCACTACCTCAAAGTCTGTGTAATAGGAAAGTTAATTTTAAATTTGGCTTATTGTGAGCATGTTTAATTGTGTTGACTTTGAGTTTTGAGAAGTAATTGGGGAAATATTGTACTTGATTTTATTGTTTGTTTAGTAATAATGGCCATTTAATATTCCCTATCACAGTTTTGTTTAACTAACATGGACTAATTATGATTTATTACAATAGTTTTATGAAAGTCCTGCATAGTCTGGAATTTTTGTCTTTAAATACAGAAATAATTACTTTGCTATGTTCTTGGTTTATGCTCTGTGCACAATCAGGAGCTCTGAAAACCTAAATTTTTTTTTGTAGTTGGTCCCGCCCATAGGGATGTTGAATAATCCTATGAATGCAGTAACAACAAAATTTGTTCGAACATCAACAAATAAAGTCAAGTGTCCAGTATTTGTTGTTAGGGTAAGTATTCTGTTGGATATTTTTTGGAAAAATTAATCATGAGTTTGCAAATACAGTTAACAGGACAAAGTAAATTGAACATACTTTTAAATATACATCTGGGATAAAAGTGACTTTATTGCTAATTTAATTTTAGAATATCTAGTCATTTCTACAGTATGTCTCCATTTAGTAAGATAATTACTTTTGGATTATTTTTCTTTATGTTGCAATTTTCATTGAATTTTACATCTGGGATAAAAGTGACTTTATTGCTAATTTAATTTTAGAATATCTAGTCATTTCTACAGTATGTCTCCATTTAGTAAGATAATTACTTTTGGATTATTTTTCTTTATGTTGCAATTTTCATTGAATTCTTTCTAGCCTCTATGGATATTTATTGCCACAGACCTCAGACTTGCTCTTGAGTAGGAACGCTTTTGCTGACGTTTACAAAGCAGCATCTCAAGGTGAATGGAAATAGTTAAGGGTTAAACTAATAAAACACCTGAGAAGATCTGAAGACCAATGGTAGACCATAGATGTCAGCTCCATCTAGGGACATAGTTAGGTACTCAGTATTTCCCTAGAATTTTTAAAATACAATTTTTAAGCAAATACTACACTGACATACTTCAAAATACTTAAATTTGAAGTAGTGTGTAATAAAAAGTCTTTCTATCTTTGTATCTCAGGCATCCAGTTAATATGCTCATAGATAATAGTGTAACGATTGTCTTTGTGATTTGCACATATTAGCAGTATGAAGTTCAGAAATAGTTAATAGTCAAAGTTGATCAAGTAAGAATTGGGGAAAGAAAATAGGATAGAGAAAAGACAGTTAATAGCAAACATTGTGGCAAATGAGCAAAATAATCAGGTCCCCTGATACTGGAGAGTATGTGATGGACAGAAGGGAGGACCCAGAGGGGCTGGATAGGTGCTGGCTGGGGCTCCATAAAAATGTGCAGTTATTCTTAGGCCTCCTAATTGCTTCAGATGCTTAGAGAAGTAGAAACATCAGTAAAGGATTACTTACTTCAGTGGCTTTGTGTTAGCAGAGCCAACCAGTTTGTAGTATAATTTTGTTTGCCAGGGAATTCAGTAAAAAGGGTATGATGTGCAGGCTAATTTAGTATCTATTTACCATAGCACAGAAAACCTTTTTGAAATGAATAAAATTCAAACATTCTGTATCCTTTTTATTTCCAAGTCTCTATACTAGATTACACATACATTTTCCTTAGGAGATGTAAATACATGGCTTGATACTGTGAATGGAGGAGAGCTTAGAAAAGTGTTTTTGTTTTTTAATATATTTGGTTGCCAGGAAATGTTTGATAGCAGTCATGTCCTTAAATTGGTGCTTAATTGTTATATTGTTTTTTCATAAAACACTGTATCCTGTAGCTTTTTAAATGGATAGATTTCTCATTTGATGATCAAGTTCTAAGGTCTCAGGAGAAATTTGCACCTGGTAGAGGCTTGATCCAAATTATGAGATACTAAGACATAAAGACTGTGGGTCCTGTGCCTACGGTTTGATTGCCTGCAGTCTTTACTGGGTTGTGATCCATAGCAGATAATGGAAACTAGGAAAGTAGAAGCTTTTATTCAGAATAATCAAAATCATGATCTGTACGTAAGCAGTAAAAAGCGGATGTCACATATATATGTGTGTATTTTACCAAGTAGTCTTTATTTTATGTATCTCGTCCTGCTCTTCCCATGAGGACACTTGCATTTTTAAACTCTGTGTCACAGTTTTTATTTTGGAAAATAGGATTGTTATATTGAAATTTCATGTATTTACATCTCCTAAGGAAAATGTATGTGTAATCTAGTGTAGAGACTTGGAAATAAAAGGAAGAAACATTTGTGTTTTGAATTGACAAGCATATGTCACACATTCCCTTTAGTGTGCAAACAGTGACATTAAAATACTGGTGTAGTGTTCATCATGACTATGTTGTATTACATTTTTGGGGGAGTAGAACAGCATAAGACATCATGGCTTGATACTGTGAATGGAGGAGAGCTTAGAAAAGTGTTTTTGTGTTTTAATATATTTGGTTGCCAGGAAATGTTTGATAGCAATCATGTCCTTAAATTGGTGCTTAATTGTTATATTGTTTTTTCATAAAACACTGGTAACTTTCTGCCTGCTTTGGATCCATTAGCAGTTGTAATAAACCAAATCCTTTATTCAGTTTGGAGTTTTATGGTGACTGTTCTATGTTAGTCTGCCATGAATCCTAGAAAAATGAGGTGTTTTGCATATTTTGTTTTGAAATGCTCTTTAGAGTACGAAGGAGTATGTAACTTAAGCTACTTATAATGAACTTACTATTTTTAATTTAGTTAATGTGCTAAAGTGCTAGAACTTTCCGTGAACTGTGTTAATGCAGGTTCTTTTCTGACAAAGTACTTGCTTATAAATCTGAGCTACATGTAAGTGAAAGTCAGTATCAGCTACTTAATATTGATAATTGGATATGTTATAACACTTTCATAAACATTTTCTGATTTGTTTTTTAAAAACGGGTTAGGGCTGAGGATTTCTGACCTGGTGTCACCTGTCTTCTTTCCTCTGCAGTGGACCCCAGAAGGTCGAAGGCTGGTCACCGGGGCTTCTAGTGGAGAATTCACGCTGTGGAATGGACTCACTTTCAATTTTGAAACTATATTACAGGTAACGGTGATCCTCAGAGGGCAGCATCAGCTTGTGGCATTGTAAAGAACTAGAGATAGAGTTACTTTATTGGAATTTTAAACCTGCAATTGGACAAATTGTTGTGAATTAATGTACACTCCTGTAAAACCTTCATCGTATATTCTTTTGTATAATGTCTACAAATGTTCTGTGTTTTCACAGGCTCACGATAGCCCAGTGCGGGCCATGACTTGGTCACATAATGACATGTGGATGTTGACAGCAGACCACGGAGGATATGTGAAATATTGGCAGTCGAACATGAACAACGTCAAGATGTTCCAGGCACATAAGGAGGCGATTAGAGAGGCCAGGTTTATACACAATATACCATTTTCTGTAGTCCCTATTGTCATGGTTAAATTATCCTCTAAGTGTATTCTGGGTGCAGTGATGCATGGGCTCTGTCAGATTCTGGGAAACTTTCTGCACCCTATAAACACAATATTTTTCTTTGTTTTCACACATTCACCATTTTGCTGGCACCTTTCTGAAGTAGTGTTATCCGGGTATCAGCCTTTGCAATATGTTAGAGATGTATTGTCTGCTGCATTTTGCACTGGTTTTCTCTTTTCATTTATGGTTACTAATGTGTATACGTTATTCTTTTTTATTACCTACTGTGTAAGATAAGAATATTTCATTCTGAATAAAGAATTCAGTCTTTAATTATACAGCTGAATAAAATATACAGACTACAGAAACACCTGCAGTTCACACAAAATGCAAGAAAAAAAGGCTTAAGGTGAAGACTTGGTTGGCTTGGTTATGCCACAACTTCAGGAGGAAAGTATAGTAGGATCAAAAACTCTCACAAGTAACTGGATGTGGCAAACATTAATGAATTAATGAATGGGTTCTTCATACTTTGAAACTGTAAGCAGACCATTGTCAAGAAGACCATAGGACTTTCTTCTGATCCACTGTTGATAACATCAGTTATGCACATGTATAATTGGAGTTTAAAATATTTTCAGTGAGTTGTATATTTCTACATATCAATGAGATATGTATAGTAAAACTGGAAAAAAAGTTTTCAGAAACAAGCCTGAAGAACTGCTGCAGCCTCAGAATAAAGCTTAGCAGCATTCTTTGCGGTTGTACCGCCCATGTGTGGGAGGAGATTGACGTTGTAGGAACATCGTCCACTGCAGTCACTTGTTTCTACCTTGAAAATCTTAAAAAAACTTTTGGATAAACATGCTTCTGCAAAGACTTTGCTTTAGTGTCCTGGCATACATTGATATTCAAGGTGGTTCTTTCCTAGTCATAGGAGTCAAAGTCAAGGGAATTGTCAAGAGTTAGATGAGAAACTTGACGATCCTTAATTACAGGGAGGAAAAAAAATGGCTCCCTCCTTTGCAGAAGATTCTTTGGCTTTAAACACAGTCTGAATGTTCCTGTGTTAAAGTTTTCCTCAAAAGGTCCAACATTTATGGGATAGCTTGGCCAGGAAGAAAGTGGAAAGTTTCCCAAAGACCTTTCAAGCAAATGAGAAACATCGTAGGTAGGGATGTTTAGCAGCCGGTCTTAGTCTGCCCAGATTTTTTCAGCCTGTCATTTCACGAAATGTCTGAGGCAGAAGCTGATGCTCATTTTGGGGGCAGATTCCTGTGTGATTTAAAAGACAGTTTACAGGGATATTGCAAAAGCAGTTCATTCTTTTTCTACACTTAAATCAGATCCATGTTTTCTGTTGGTGTGATAAGAAGTCATCTACTGCGGGGAGTGTGGGGAGCACCGGTACTAATAATATGCTCGTAAGGCTCTCTGAATGTTGGTGATTGGAAACTAAGAAGCAACCGCTCTGTTGAGTTCTCCTGTCGAGATGCGTCTGTTCCTGGCAGCGTTCTCTGTGTGGGCTTCTTCACTCTTGGATTCTGCCCCCTCCCGGTTATAACGCAGCGCAGTGTTTTTATTTTTCCCTGTCTGAGAAGCACAGATAATCTGTTAAATGCTGACTTCTTTCCCCTGCTGTGTGTCTTCATGTAACAGTTTCTCACCCACGGATAATAAATTTGCTACATGCTCTGATGACGGCACTGTTAGAATCTGGGATTTTCTTCGTTGCCATGAGGAAAGAATTCTCCGAGGTACGTGTTCTAACAGTACTGATTGGAATATTTAAATAGGGAAGGCATTTGTGCTTAAGTCATCACAATACCACAATACCAGCTTACATTTCCATTCAGTTTTTGACATGCGCACCGTCTCAGGCTCTTTAAAGAAACCTAACTCTCTCTCTGGTTCACAATCATTTTGTAGATTTTTACTGCTAATATATTTGAATTCTTTCAGCTATGAATTAAATACAAGCGTCCCCTTTTCCTCCCCTTGCCCTCATTGTTTGCTTGCCTGTATGCACCTTTTAGGATTATATTCCTTTTCTTGTCTTGTACCCAGAATAGCATTCTCCAGCATGTGAACACTATAGTTTTATTTAGATCGCTCACATTCTCCTAGCAGCCCTTTTACAATATGAATTAACCTAGGCATTAATAGCTGCACTCTCAGTGTTGCTATTTCTGAAAGCAGGTGGTTTTTCAGTATACCACATTTGTGTTACATGGCCCCCTTGTTAGTAAATTTTAGAGAGATTTCTTGTTTACTTTTATTGATTTCATAATTATAAACTAATGTGAATAAATTACTCCATCCTACAAAAGAAATCTGTATTCTCACTTGGCTTAGCTTGGTTTTAGAGACCATACGGCAGACCTGTTGACCTGCTGACAGTGTCTATCTCAGCACTACTGTGAGTTCAGCAGTGTCAGGGGTAGGGAACTAACTATGTTTATAGATGCAACCCACACAATGAAACAAAAACATTTACACTTCTAACTAAATTTCATTAGTTTCTAATTAACTAGGAAGGTCCTTTTCTCAAGTGCTTAGTTTGAACCTGTACGGATTTAGCAGGACAGTTGGCTCCACCCTCTTGATTCTAGGGTGCCATGAAAGTGACCTCTTCCTCTGTGACAAATCGGGGTGGGAGGAGGGGTTCCACAGACACTGCCTGTCAGGAAATGACTGCAGAGACTCCCTGTCCGTTCCAGAGCTTTATGTATAGCATATAGTGTTGATGCTTTCTAGACAAGAAAATAAGTCCCCTTGATATTTAACCCATATTTCAAACCAAGTTATATATAAAACTTATCATACTTGTTAAAACATTCCTGGCTTTGCATGTATTGTGTGGGTTCATGCACAGAACTGTGTGTAGTTAGCATAAAAGTTTGTGACACTGTGAAGGTCATAATGCCATGCAGCTTCAGAACCAGAGTCTCTGAAATAACTAAGTCACTGTATGGATGAGCGCCAGCAGGCTTCACTGAAATGTTCAAGGTGAAAAGCGTTCAGAGGCAGGATGGAATCTTCCCCCTTGACTCCTACCTACTGCCACACTGTTGATGCCCCTTTCCTCGCTGCCAGAAGTCTTAGCTGTTAAACAGCTGTTAAAAGATAAAGAACTTTTTCTATAGGCTTTGGAAATTCTAAGAAATACGGAGGAAATAAAATTTTTTTTTAATTAAAAGCAATTCCAAAGTATCCAGAACAATTATTTTTATAATGAACTCGGACTATGATAGCTGTGAAGTCTGATAAAAACTATGGTACATCTTAGGTTAAAAAAAGAAGAAAATCTGCTGTATAATATTTTTCAGTCCCAAGTTCCAGTGAAGTGTTACTCAGTTTTGGTAATGAAACTGTTTGTAAGTCGTGCTTAAGAACGTTTCCTTTGAAATTTAGATTATATATGTGAGATACTAACTAGCTGTTAAATATTTTCAGATGTGAGTCCACGTGGATTTAGATAAACTGATGAGGAATCATTACTTTTACTTATAGCTCAAAAAATACATCAATATCATGTCTGTGTTGATTGAGAGTTGAGTTTTATTTTTTATGTGGGGGCTTTTAAAAAGATTTCACTATAGAAATTTCAAACATGCACAAAAGTATAAGGGACCTCCCTGTACTTGGAGGATTCATATTCTAGCTTTATTCGTGTTTTTTGTTACTTTTAGAAACATCCTACTTGCTTTATGGTTACAATTTTTACTTACTACCACAATGAGTAAATGGGACAAATATGAATATATTATAGCAAGTTAATCATACCACCCAAATAGTAGTTCTTATAGCAGGTCTGGTGTAGTAAATGAGTTATTAGATTCCAGTTACCCGCTTTCTGTCATTCCTCATTTTTCTAAATTTTCTGATTTTAGAGATGATCGTATCATAATGAAGCCAATGTTGTTATATTTTTCCTATCCTTCACTTGGTGGGTTTGAGGATCACGGGATGATGTGAAATTCTTCAAGTAAACTTTGAAGCGAACTTAGTTTAGCTCTATTTGTAGAGAGGAAATTGGATCACAAAGTCAAACAAACAGGGATAGGATCGGCCAGCCTCCAAATGTCGGTCCCCTGTATGCAGGGTGATGTTCATGTAGGCCACCAGGGCTGTAACAGGGCGGGTAAGCACGCTTCCTCCCACGGCACGTCACTGCTGTGCCGCAGGCCGGCGCAGACTGGCACTCGGGGTGAGGTGTCAAGAAAATCAAGAACATTGTAAGTGAAGAGTTTGTTTGTGATCAGGTCGTCCAGCTCTATCAAATATTTACCTTTTCTATATCATTCCTAAAAACCAGTACAACTCACAGACATTTTTGGTACCGTAGAGTATTCACTGCCTCACATGATTCTTTTCAATTTTAGGTAGCTCTAAATTCCAGAAATTCTTCTGTTACAACAAATCTGCTTCCTTAAAACTTGTCCTTCCTTCTGCGATATGAAAAATTAAGTCTGTACTCTTCTCCATGGCAGCCCTTGAAGTATTTGAAGACAGCTGTCATGTGTTCTTAGTGTATATAGTCTTTACAGCTGTAAGCATGAAAGATCCCTGTGTGTGGCAGAAGCCATGATACCAACCATTGAGTGCAGAATATACAGGTGCATTTTAGTGTTCTTTCTGAGATTGTTCTTATGCTTCTTGGAAAAGGAAAAAGTTACACCGGAGAAAAGTAATCAATATTTTAAGGTTAAAATGAGCATAGATCTATTGTCAGGAGATTTGCTACTCAAAAGATGATGATTGGTCCATAGTAGGAAAAACAATCACTTATGAAATTGAGTATACTTCAGCATTTACCATGTAATATGTCCACCCATCACTGAAGCATATACAAAGCCAGCAAAATTTATATACATTTACCCTTCTTTTTTAGTGTGAATTCTAGCACTCAGTTTATGGACTAGGATTAAAATAACATTTAAGTGCTGAGAGTACACTAGTCTACATAAGTGTCTAGGTTATTGATGTTTATACATTTGACATCAAGTGAAATATAGCCATTAAACTAAACTCCATTTATTTAATTAATGAGCATATGCTATATAGTATATGGGTTTGGCTTTTTTTTTCTTTTCTTTTTTTTTTTTTTACAAGATATGACCCCTACCCTTACGCTTTTTAAATTCTAGTACGGAGGATATTTTCACAGACTTAGGATGTTGGATAATATGGGAGAAGAGTCATAATACTGTCAGGAGTGTGGTTTTATCAGTGTAGGGTTAGAAGCAGATTACTTAGGACTGGTTAAAATGTATATGAGCAAGATTGAAAGAACCAAATCAGTAAGAAAACTAAAGTAAATTTTAGAAGCAGAATACTCTTAAAAAAGAATCCAATTTAAAGTTTCAGCATGCTTTAAGTTTGATTTGCTTTCTTGGTTTTTAACAGTACCTGAAGTATTCTAGTCATTATGTATCAGGCATGTTCTAAGCATTTCATCTTCCCAGTAATCCTCTGAGATGAATACTGTTTGGCCCACTTTTTACAAATGAGTAACCAATGTACAAAAAAAGTAAACTTGCCCAAGGTCATATAGCCTGAAAGAGGTGGAGCTAGTATTTGAACCCAGATTGTTTGACTCCAGAGTTCATACTCTGAACCACTATTGCCTCTTATATTTTAAAAGTAATATCAGCGTAGTGGTAGTAATGTCTTCCTGAGCTTGTGATGATTGAATTGGAGAGTAGGATTTTGGGGGGACAGGATAGGTGTGGGTAGAGGGAACTAATTTAGGTACCCAAGTTCCTTTTACCTTTTGTCTTTAAAACTATCCATATGGGTTATACGTTTTCAGTGTATGCTATATTTCACAACAAAAAAATTAAACCACAATGAATAGTTCAAACTGCAAGAGAGTTAAGATATACTAGATTACATAAATAGAATATGGGCATAAAGGAGTTATCTGAGACTTATTTAGGAGGTAAGATCTGTTTCCAGTTTTCAAATACAGCAGTCATGGAGAGGAAATGAACCCCTAAATACACACAGCTAAAGAAAAAGGATGTTACCATACTTCTGATAAGTCCGTGTATCCCTTTCTGACTGCATCTGGCTGTAGTTTTTAATAAATGACATAAACCCCTGTGTAAAGATCTTATGGTTCAGCAGTGTGTTTTTGGATTGTGTGAAGATGTGTTTGCAAAGTTTGAGTGTCTTCAAAATATCTGATGCTTTTTATTGGAAATAATTTTACTTACTAAAGTAAAATTGGCAAACCACATGGTTTATGATTAACTGACCTAATTTATTTGTACAGTGTCTTTCAAAACATTCCACAAAATCTTGTCTATTCTCCCCAAGATAAAAACAGAAACACCTAGCTTCCTTTGAAATAGCCTTTAGCAGCATAACTCCTTTCACTAACATAGCATATCTTAATATTAAAAGCACTTTAGGCACATCTCATTTAATCATTCAGACAACCAGGTGAACCCAGTTTATATATGCACACCTATTTTCTCTGTATGTGATTCCTTACTTTGAGGAAGAGCTTATTTTAAGGTTCTTTTCCTTCTGCTATTCTGAAAAGACCGGATCATGGTTGGCTCCCCTATGTAAATCATTATCTGAGTGAATTATGAAGGAGAAGAAGAATCTTTACTTCTGAGGCACATTATTTGAAGAAATTAATGTAGTAGGGTCCTGAAATCATTTTATATGTTGCATTCACATTTTTCTAAGAACATTTCAGATTTTTATACTGGGATTGGACTTTGTTCTTTCTATCTCTGTATTTGTTTTAAATATTGCATATAATATGGCAAAAACTTGTTGAAAATAGATCTGTGGCTTTCTTCTAATGTTAGAGCTACACACAGCTGCTATCATGTTCAGTGTTTTAGGTGAGAGGAGCAATTCCCAGACACTCTTCTGTATAGAAAGAGTCTGATTTTTTGACTGTGACATATCACTGTGATTAATAATTTAGGCAGTCAATTCAGTTTTCAGAAAGAGCCTTTGCATCTTTACAGAATTTATTGAGTATTCTATAATTGCTTCAGTTTATTTTGACTGAGACTTAATTTCTATTTGCTGATGAATTAGTTACCCTGTTACATTGTGGAGCTTCCCAGCTAATCAGGTCTTTGATTGTTTTTAAAGTTAAAATACAGAGCTTTGGAAAGAGCTGATAAAATTAGATACATATATAATAGGCTTTTGGCTGTTCATTTTTAGTGGGTAGATGCTTTAATAAATGTACAAACTAAGTATATGCTTTCATCAAAAATAATTTGCCATGGAGGGAGGGAGGCTAAGTATCAAAATAGTTTTCTCACAGTCACTTTTTTCCCTTTAATCACTTTTTTTACAGTATACCACAAAGCCATTTTAAAGTTTGATTTAAATCATATCTCAGGAATTTCTGAGATGCATCTACATTGCTGTGATCTCTTAAGCTACAAAGAAACCAAAACAAGAATTTGTTTACAGGAAGAAATGGTAGTTTCTAAGTCATTTGTCCTTTTGTATAGATTGTTTCATGAAACAGACTTAATTTCTCCAAAATACACTATTAATTCTCTAAAGCCAGTCTGCTTTAGAGCCAGACTCAGATCTCTTTCTGTCCCTCCCCCTGCCCCTCTTCGAATGTATTTTAATGTAGTTCTTTTTGTGAGAACTTCACCTTGTCAGCCTGGGTGTAGAGCATCACATGTTACTTGGATTAGCTCAGTGACTTGTGTCTGCTTTAACTTGCCGTTATCTTAAAATATTGCACTGGTCCCTTAAGAACACCACGAAGGGCCAGCCAGCACAGTGGGCCTGTGGTGCCTTTGAGCAGAGGTGGGTAGAGCTCCACAGCCCAGAACCATCCATCTGAAAAAAGAATGCCTTCCATAATCTCCCTGTTGGCAAGCTAAACAGAGCGCAATTTCAGCAAAGGAAAGCATGTAACTCACACACAGTCTATTATCTTTCTACAGGAAAAGTTTTCCATATTAGATACAAATATGATCTTCTATATCCTTCCCATCCCCTATATTCTAGGCCTATATATAATAAATCTGATCATATTTCCATGTAAAATCCTTTAAATAAATTTGAAAATGACAAAACTTAATTGTGTCTTATCCAAGCTAAATATACTAAACTTGTCTTTGCTCTTTCTCATGATTTCTAGACCCTTCCCCATTCTGATCATTTCCCTCAGTAATTAAGCTCCATCATTCTGAACACCCATATTTCCCAAATGGAAGGTGCAGCATCTCAAAAATTCACACTAGACCTCTAAGACCCAGGATCGTTGTTTGTGGACCCTCATAAGCCAGTCTAGTAACTAACAAGCACTGGAATTGAGGTTGAAAACCTGAATGTAGGATTTTATATATTAAGTTTATATTAAGTTTAATGTCATCATATCTTGAATCATGACATCTGGAGAACATCTTGTTTGGAGTCCCCTGTAAATTTGCAAAAGCAAGCTATCTAGGTAAGAAAGGTTAATAAACAAGACGGGCAAAGTAAAGAATATTTAGGCGCTCTGCACAAGGGCTTCACAGATGAAGAAGGTGGTTTCACAAGCCTCCAAGGGAAATAGACTTCCAATCATGTAATTTTAAAGCTGTGAACTTTTATCCTGATCCGCAGATTTGTTGCAAGGTTTCCTATGGTTTGGCTACAATTTCCTTGACTCCCTCCAGTAATTCTGTAAAAATAGGACTGTTTTAGCTGGTTCTCTGTGGGAGCAGTAATGTCCACTAGCATTTTGGAAAGACCTGTTCTCAGAGCCTGTATGTGTGTGCACTGATATCTTTTTAGAAAAGTGTTACTTGTAGCAATCACTGCCAGTCCAGACAATGTTTTCAGTACTCTAAAGATGCTTTCATGCTTCTTTCCCGTCTAAAAAAAGTCCCAACTACTTTTACTATGTAGTTTAGATTTTCAAAGGCATTTTCATTAAATCATTTTTCCTTTTGCTCTTCAAGTTTATTTTGTTTTGTGGTTTCTGTTTCCACTTTCCCTTGTGTAGAGCTGTCTTAATTTCCTTTCCTTGATTTGCCTGTGTACGCTTTTGAAAGTAACGTTTTACTACCTTTTCTGATTAGCTTCATTTTTGAGTTTCCTGCTACTGAAAGCAACACAGCAAAAACTAATATATACAGTGTTGTGTTTGTTACAACTGCAGGTTCTGTAACCTGGGTGTTAGTTAAAGTTTTGACACTGGAGCAGGTCACACTGCTATCTGTGTCTCATCTGTATCATCGGGATTAATAATTAACACTGTCTTTACTGAGTACTGAGAATTAAGGGTTGATTCATGAGAAGTCCTTTAACACTAGTGTCCTGGTTAAGAGCGTCCAGTCAGTGTCAGCTGATACGTCATTTCCAAAGCTCAACTTCAGAGCCTGCCTCTATATCTCTGCCTGCGGACGGACAGACAACAGTGGTTATTTATTTCCCTCAAGTAAAATTTTTTCAGCCATTCAGTTTAAAAATGCTGTTTTTCAACTATTATCATTAGTTACAGTACTACAGGTTTTTATTTACAGGTAGTCCATAAGTGGGACCACTGGTTTAAAGAGAGTTGTCACGATTTTCCAAGTTTTCAGATGTAAAAAAAGTCATCTCTTAGAATTGGCATTTTTAAAGGTCTCATATGGAAGCATTTAAAGATTATTTAAATTGTTAGATGAATCAAATATTTAATGATTACCAGTGGGGTCACGGTGCTGTACTTGGTTCTATTTTTTATCTAAACTCACAAGACACAGCCTCATCCCTTAAGTGGCATTTCCAGTGTTTCCCTAGTTCTTTGGTTTCTTAAGATGTGTTTTGTGAATTGGCCAAATGGCCGTGAAGAATGGGAAGCTGAACACACCGAAAACCAGCAGTTTTCATGGTTGTGGCACTGCAGCAGACTGGTCCCTGGTGTCCAGAATGTTTCATTAGGACAATGTTTCCTTTGCTCTGGGGAAGAAGTTTTTTGCTTTTTTTTTTTTCCTCTATTGATCAAATTTAATCACAATAATTACTTTCTAACTGTTTAGTAATAAAATTGGATGAGTCCAGTGTTAACTTTGGTAAAATGTTTGTCATCTTCAATGAGTAGGGTGGTCAGCAGTAAGCTAGGGTTCTTGGGGAAAGTGTATCCCACACGGTATCTTACCACAGTAGCAACAACCGAGATATAGAAATGCAGTCTTGGGGAAAGTGTATCCTATATGTATTTTATACTTAAGAAATACTTAAATACACTCTTGGGGAAAAATGTATCCTACATATTTTCTGGCACAGTACTGAAAACTTCAATACTTTAATGTTACCTCTTTGGGCCTCCTCATCACCCTGTGCCCCTAGCCCATCACACTTGCCAGATGACAGAGACTATTTGGGTCATAACCTGTTCTGTTGTAGTCTCTGGTGGAATTTGTTACTGAGGATGTGGCAGGTCCAGCCTTACTGTTACAGTGGTTCTAGAGCAGAAGGGTGGCATTAAAGGAGATGATAGGAGTTCAGAGTGCTGTCGGTTTAGTGATTTCTGAACTTGAATCCTGCTGCTTTCTTGAGGTTCTATGTTAAAGTGTGTAGTTGCAGTGTTCTGGTACACCCTGAATGTTAAATAGGTCAGCAGTTTGGTGTTATTAGTATTTTATATATGTTTTTTTGTGATGATTAAATCAGATCACTTAGTTTTCAGAGATTTATGGAAATTGTTCTGTTTACATCTTTTTAAAGTGTATTATCAAAATATTCTGCAAACATTGTTAGTTTTAGAGATTTAATATGCTAATGTGCCACACAAGTATAAATTACCAAGTGTCCTCTGGGTAAAAATAAAATGTTTATTAAAAAAAAAATCTCTTCAAGAGTATTTGGTAGACATTTTATATGGTTTATTAAATTCTAGAAAAATTATTAAGTCAGTTACCATAAAACACTTTAACTTTTTGAATTAACTGTTCTAAATATAGGTTTTTGCTTTATACTTTGGACTTTAATGTGTCCTCTCAGTGAGCAGGTACGATGATTGCATAGCTCTGCTTAAGGATTTGCGCATTAGATATTGAAGTCTGTGAGGTGATGGGGATACGAAAGGCCTAGTACAGCGGAGAAGAGTCTCAGTCTTGGAGGAGGCGTGCCAAGGACAGTGATCGTCGTGAAGGGTAAGGCTTGTTAAGGAGGTCTAAACTAAGGAGAGGGCAGTCAGCGTTGTGAGGCTTTCTTCATCATTACTTTTGAATCACATTTTAATTAAACGTGTTAAAATTCACCCAGCAATTGGTCTGCATTTCTTAAAAAAAAAAAAAAAAGATTTACAGAGAAGGTCAGATGTAGCGGAAAGATCAGCTCTTTTTACTACTTAATACAAATTCAGATGAAAGGGTGTAAAGCCCCATGAAATGTTAAGTGACGAGTGTCTAACCTGTTGTTCCCTAAGTCTGTTCACCTCATTCACCACGTAGACTCAGACTACAAGCTTCCTTTTCCCACTCTAAGTTACATGGGCAGTTCTTGGTATGATGACGCATTTCTTTGAACAAGCTTTTAAGTATTTTTTTGAAAACTGGTTCTCGTTATACTGAAGTCATGATTTTGAACTGCATTGGCAGCATCAGGAGATGAGTTTGAATCCTTGTTCCCTCTTGCTGTGTAGCCACATTTTCATGATCCGTAATAGTAAGGGGTAGTGCCTGTGTGCTGGGAAGTCGTATTGTAAAAGACGCAGCACCGGGCGTGCCGCAGAGAGGGCAGTGGTGGGGGAATGTTTTCTCTCCCAGCCAGCGCTCTCACACAGCGCAGGTTCCTAAGAAACCACCTGCCTTCGAAGACAGTGACCCTCATGTTTGGGAATCTCCACACTTACATCTTCAGGGCCAGGAAAGACACAGTAGGCACTTGGGGAGCTGGCAGAACACTCCATGTCCCCACCCCCTAGACATAAAAATCTTTAAGTTTTATCTGGAAGATAGGAAATGGGTGATTTTTTCCCTAAGTTTTTTTTTTTTAAGCTGGTTTTATAGTTGACAAAAAGTTATTTTCTGCCTTTTCTTTGGGGCCAAGAGGGACTTCTTTTTGATAACTATTCCCTTCAGGTTTTTCAGGACTTCTAGTTATTGACTTTCATATTAAACATAATAGTTATGAATAGATTAGGATTTATTTATTTACTTATTTACCAAAGTGCTGATTTGAGTGACTACAGTGGGTTTGTGTTGTAGAAAGTTGTTTGTTCTAAGTTGGAATTCTTGGTTTTTCTACCTTGTTTGGATGTGATTAACACTTAAAAAAATAACATTCAGCTCCACAGTGGGACATTTTGCACATTAAAAAAGTCTTTCAGTGAAAGAGTACACATGAAACTCAAGCTTTATTTTCTTCTCAAAGCTGGCCTGTTATCTAGATTTTTTTTCATTAGTCATGGTGAACACTTGTTGGAAAAAAGAAAGCTGACCTCTTCTACCTTTTCCTTATACCTTTAGTTTTATTATTGTTGGGTCTCTGTTTCAAAATACTTGTGAATCCTTGTGCCTCCAAGTGAAGTGAGTCTTGTTGAATTCCTGCCTATTCTCTTAAATCAGCTTGGCTAGGTAGACATCTTCTGGGCCTTAAGAGTTCCCAGTGTGACGTCAGCAATGCCTTTTACTGTATCTGAGCTTCTCAACACTTTGTAGCATGGTCTTGACATTAAAAGCAACATGGAAGGAACCTTTCTGCCAGAGTCATCCAGAGCTGCCCCCCCCCGTGAACTGTGAAATGTGTGCTGAGGAGCCCCATTCTAGAGTCATTTGTCCTAGGTAGTTAGGAAGTTCAGGCTCTTTTCATCCCACTGTTAGTATTCATAGGTGTCAGACCCCTTCAGTCCAAGACCACCAGGAACACACTTGTAGTCGAACACGCTACTTGTAGCAGCGACACAGATCATAGGGAACCATGGGGTATCTCAGGAAGAGGGGGTTATAAAGATTGTATTATAGGATGTGGGCTTTGGGTAATTTGTGGAGGGTTCAAGGAGGTGAAGGGTGTTTGGTGTTTTGTGGCCTTGTATTTGTTCCAATGCATCATGATCTCAGAGTGACTTAATTTGATGGAGATGTATTAGTGAGATTGTCCAAAAGAAGAACAAAGTGGTTTAGCTGTAAATGTTACCTCAGTTTGTAATGACATTGAGACTTAGCTGTGAGCATCAGATTAGTTCTAGAAGTGAGGGGCTGCTTTTCCCGTTCTTTATCAGGATTTAAATCCCCTGACCTCTCCCTGTAGGAACCTGCTGGGGGAGGTGGGGATTTAGCAGCAGTGACGCAGTGGGCATGCCGCTGGACAGGCTGCACTGACGCTGACCAGGGCGATTGGGAAGCAAGTTGCTCATGCTGTTTTTCAGCTGGCTAGAAGGAGGCAGTGAGTGAAATAGGAATGTGTTCTTTTTAAGTGAGATGAGTGAGTTTTCCTGCACTAATCTCTAGGTGATCCTGGGGTTTACCCCACTAAATTTAGTGTCTAGGATTAGTTTTTGTTTCTTTACACCTGGGAAGAGTCAGCTGTTCATTTTCTATATTGTCTGTTAATACAAAGCAGTAAACAGCAGAAGGATTTTAAAGAATTTTAAGACTTATGAACTCTGTTACATACCTTACAAGTAAAAATTAAGAGAACAGTAAAATTCCTTATGAACTGTCAGGTTGACTTAAGGCAAACAAGGACTGTTTTCACAGCTGAGTGCAGCTGAGTCCTGTGCGCCAGAGATGACGGAGAGGACGCTTGTTTACTCACTCATTCAGGTAATTGCCATGTACTGTGTCAGGCTCGGTGCTAGGCCCTGGGCGTGGAGGACAGGGCCAGTCATTCCTGCCCTCATGAGCGTACAAATGATAGCTGGAGATTTTGGGTTTAAAAGCATCACTTTTAATGGCATCTTAATTTCATATCTGTTCTAAAATAATTATTACATTGTTGTATTATAGTACCTAGAAGAATATTTCTATGATTAATGACATAGTTTTTATAGATTTTGTGACTTTAAATGGTACTTTTTTAAATCACACATTTGTGGAGAAAGTTTTCTGCAGGTCTGGTGGTATCTTTAAAATGTGGAGGTCTTCAAAATTTGTCTCCTAGAAAACTGGAAGATACGCTTCCTCTGTCATATCTTTGAATAATAAATTGAAGGTATTCTTAAACTATCTTTTTATCATTTGGAAAAAATAGTTGAAACACTAGAAAAGTTAGGTTTGTAGTTAATACTTAACTATGAGTAGTAAAAGTCTAGGGCGCATTGGGGTATGTCACAGGAGGGAATTCAGTGTCTGGCACCATCGGACAAGCAAGACGTGTCACAGGCAAACCCATCTTCAGGTGGGGACACGAGCCCTGCTTTTGGTCTGTAGATTTTTCCTATAGAAATAAAAGAACATTAATTACATTTTGTCACTGGAATATTTATAGCATCACTGAAGCTTTGAATGTTTATGAGAACCTCAGAAAACTTTGAGAAAGGATGTAGGTGGCAAAGCTTTCTACATCTTGGTGCTTTTGGTGGCGCACTGTTAGCACTAGAATGTGGCTGATTTGGACCAAACTGAGGATAACTTTCCAGAATAGGGTTTTCACTGAAATACTATTCCACACAGAGAATGTTTTCATTTTAGATTTTAAACACTCTATAATGAATTATCATTTAGATCTTATTTACTGGGGACATAGTTTTGCACGAGGATAGTCATTCCATAGTTCCCACAGATTTCATGACTGGCCAAGGAACTTACTACATAATCATTTTTATCAGTGGCTAAATTATGTATAGATGCCAGGATACGCCTTTGTATAATTTAGGCACTTAGGCTTGTGGTGCATTCTCTTGGTTAACATTGCCGGGATAAGGATTTGTATTTTGAGACTAGATCTGTCTGGGCAGCAACCCACTTTTCATGATCCCCACAAAATGCACTCTTCCTATTATTTATGGTAACAAGTAGATTTGCATTTATGTCTTCTCTCTAACTCCACTTACCAGAAAGATTAATGTAGAATAGTATCTATTTACTGTGTCTTTTCATAGTCAATGATGAGTGCAAGTCTATTTGTAATATATTATTTTTTTCCTACAAAATGGGAGGGACAAGTTCTTTTTTGTCTATTGTTACCTTGAAGTTTTAATAAGGGAACATAGTGTACTTGCTGTTTACAATGGTTAAGTGACAAGGAAGAAGAAATTATAAATATTATCAAACCTCTTCTCCAGCTGCCCAGAAATTTTAGGTGCAGCCGTAGTCTCTCCTTGGGGCAATCTTTGTTTTTCCTTTGGGGTGCTTTAAGCATAGCCCATCCGAGAGCCAGCAGGTCCGCTTTGGATCAGCTGTCACTGGGCAAGTCCGCCTCTCTCAGCACATCTCCTCCTCTGCGCGGTGAGCGGGGCTGACGGCACCCACCTCACAGGGTTGTTGTGAGGACCCCAGAACTACGCAGAAGGCTCTTTTCCTGCTGCATGCATTGAATGTTGGTTGCTTAAGTTATACGTGTGCAAAGGAAGATGCTAAAAAGCATTTAGGGTGTAAAGAAAGTAACATTTAATTTAAGGGGAGGTTGGAATTGATTAGGAAAGGTATAAAGGATTTAGTGAAAAGGAGATGACTAGATTTAGAGTTGGGATGGGACATCATGTATGATTATCCTGTTTTCCGTAGTGACTCAGTTTTAGAAGTGTCACTGATAAAATTAATTGTATTGAAAGCCACATTTAAATAAATAACATTGTATTGAAATGGAACTATGACTTATTTTTTAAAGCTGTATTTATGAAAGTCCTCGTACTTTCCTTCCAGTGTCATCTCGGAACCACAGTATTACCTTAAAGCGGTTCTTCACTCCAACCCCCCGTAGTGTCCCCAGAGTTGCCTTTTCCTTTAGTTCTTGCTTGCTTGCTTCTTCTTTGAATAGATTTTGACTCTTTCCTGAGAACCACTAGCTGTTTGTGTTTTTTTTTAGTTCTATACAGGTAGATTCATACTTGATGTGTAGAAGATACACTGAGTTTTTCTATAGATTTATGGGAGAGTATTTATTCCTTCCATTGTCACTTTTTTTTACTAGGTTTACATTATCTTGAAAAAACATAAAGGCTAAAAATAATATATCTTTATGGTATGAGTTGTTTATTTGAGCATTTTTAGTAGGCACTTTAAGTTTGATCAAAATCAAATCCTCCGTTGTTAGAGATACTTAAATAACTAGCACCGTGGTCACATTGTAAGTCCGCAGTTCTGTTATTTTTCAGTCTTGGATTGTCTCCTTTCATGGCTGCCTTGCTAAAAATGAGCAGTGAGGTAAAACTCACGCTTCAAGCACAGTTAAGGTGGAGAAACCTTCATTCTGCCAGTTTCTTGGTTTGTGTTGAGTGTGAGGGCTGAATGAGAAAGAACAGAAGCTGACAACTCCACATACCCCTGCACCCCATGCCAAGAACTCTGTGGCCCCTCAGCCCCACATGACGCCACCCCACAGAGCACAGACTGCAGTGCACTGCAGACGCCTGCCCGGTGCACGTTCTCTCTGGAAAATACGATGACACAAGGCAGGGGTTTGTGTGTGCTTGACTGGTAAAGACATGTATGAACTGTGGTCCTGCATATGCACAAGTGTGTTCTTCAGAATACCACCACGAGACTGAAGCCAACTGTCGGTGTGTGTCTTTTAAAAAGTGTTCCCACTAGTTCAAATGGATTTACTGCCACGTCTTGTCCTGTCACCAGGAAGATGACAGATGAGTACAAAAGCAGGCTGATTGCATAACAATGACCTGGTTGGGGATATCACTTGCAACACTGGCTTTGTTAGCAGGGCTATTCCCTGACCAGCCAAGCTGAAGACATATGCAATATTAAGGTGCATTTTTTTTTCATCAGTCACACATGGCAACAAGTATATTCAGTGTGTCAATGGAAGTAAGATTTGGAGAGAATTGTAAGGTCTGGGTGCACACATTCCCACTCTGCCATACGGCAGGCAGTGGAGGGGGGAACGCAGGGGTGGAAAGGTAAGGAAAGAAGTGAGTGGGACTAATGTTGAAATTGCTCTCTTGAGAATTTTCTGCCTTTTACAAAGATCATAAACATTCACAAAGTTCAAATATTTAGAAGTAAAAAGTGTCTTCCCCTCCCCTCTTCCAGTTTCAAATCTAGAGGTCATCACTATAATAGTTGGTTGTGTGTGTTTCCACAATTCTTACACATATACAAAAAGTACTAAAAAAAACCTACACGAGATGGTGTTACACTACATACATTCTTCGCTACTTACTTTTTCACGACACAGTACAGCCTTGTCATCTTGCCTGGCATTGCCCCAGCCTGTCTCAGATGAAGACTCTGTCACCCTCCTTACCGTGTTTTTGCCATTCCTGCTTAACCATCCTCATCGGTAGGTACTTAGGACTCGCAAGGGGTGTTGGCTGAGACAGCTGTGCACTAGCCCTCCTGGGACCTTTGTGTTTGTTCCCGCTCATGGGGGTTTTCCCTTAGGGTAGACTCCTAATGAACAACTTGATGGATCAGAGTATGAATGTGGAAGCTTGGGAAGGTACTTACAAGTTGTCTTCCCCATCCTGGAGTCGCTAATAAGCACGTGTAAGAATGTTGAGGTCTAGCCAAAAACTCTGCTGATAACAGAGCATTAACAATTTAGGAAATTTCCACCATTTAAAAATGTAGCCTTATTTTTAAAAATTATAGGTAACATGTATACATGGTAATACCTTTTCTCCAACACCATAGGGAGATGGAATTTGAAATGTAAAAACCTGCCAATCCTTTGCTACTTCAGAGATAATTTTTTTAAACTAATTGATCTATTTTTATTCCTGTGATCACCATCAGAATTCAGAGTAATCTATTTCTTGTTCTCGGTTCATCTGGCGGATACAGTGTTTCCCCACTTCCCTGTCATAAAAGATGAGGCACGTTGTGAAGTTGTACCACCAACTGTGCTTTCTACCGCCTGGGTTTTGTTATTGTGAATTGTAGTTTTGATGATTTCCTTTATAGCTTCAAGTGTTCTTAGTTCTTTATTTTGGGGGCCACCAACTTAGGCAACATCCCCTGACTTACCATGGTACATAAGGATGTCTATGTCCCTCAATGTCTTTCTACTTCTCCCCCTTTTATCTCCTTTAAACACTGTCAAGGGCTTTGTAACCATTTAAAATTCTGAAACATAAAAACCAATAATAAGTAGTATTGCTACTATAAATGATACTGTTGACCATGGAACCAAGTAGTATAATCAAGTAGATGATGCTAAACCCTGTGGTAGATAAAGTTGTTCTACTTGAAGAATTTCAAAATCAAGTGAGATGCTGTTTTCTTAGATCATCCTATAAACCGTTGAATGTAATGCCACATTTTAGTTTGTTTCAGTTTTTCTTGTAATTTCTAATTAATTTCTCTTTTCTTAATGCCACTAAAAGCTTAATCACAGTACATTAAAAATTTTCTACTTTTGCAATTGCAGTAAATAGATTTGGTTTTATTTGTGAAGATGTCCTTCACCAGGTTCTCTGGCTCCTGCTCTAGTTCCTGGGCCTGCGATTGCAGTCGCACTGGGATTTCTCTGCCTTTCCCTGTTAAGTCCACTCTGTTTTTTTTTTTTTTTCAGTTTAGTTGAAAGTACATTTTCAAAAAAAATTTCAGATAAAGTGCTTTGGGAATAAGTTTAAAAACTCATGTTCAGAGACGTCTGTAATTTGCCATCATATCTGACTCATAGCTGTCTGGGTTTCGAGTTCTTGGTCTGAAATCCTTTTCCCGTGGGATGTGGAAGGTCTCTGCTATGTTCTGTCAGTTCTGCTAATGAGAAGTCAGGTGCTATTCTGAGTCATTATTTTGTATGTAACCTGGTTTTCCCCTCTGAATGCTTTTCAAATGATCTCCTTTTCTCTCTGAACTTTTTTTTTTTATTGTGGGAATAAGTGTTAAGTATTTTAAACTTCATCTTTCTTGGCTCCCTTTAATCTGCAATCTCAAATTCTTATTCCAGCCAAAACGTTTTCCTTCTTTTGATGATCATTTCCCATTGTCCCTGCTTGAACTCTTTAGTAAGTGAGCCTTGGGCCTTTGGAGCTGCCTACCTCGTGTTACCTTTTCTTTCCTATTTCATGTTTCTGTCCTTTCCTCGAAGTGTTGGGAGACTTCTTCTATTTTATCTTCCAGAATACTTTCTCCTGTCATGTCCAGTCTGTTATTCAGCCCTTTGGATGACTCTTTTATCCACTGCATGTTTAATTTCCAAGACCTAGTCGTTCTCTGTGTTCTTTTCGTTTTTCGTAGTGGCATGTTTCTTTTGTTTGTTTAAGTGAATATACCCCTTAAACCTTCTAGCGTAGTAACTGAAGGGTTTGTGTGTGTTTTCCTGTTCCTATTTGTTTTCCCTGGGAACACTTAATCTGTGCCATTTTCGCCTTTTTCTTCCTGTTTTATTTTTCAGAGATGTCTGTCCAGTGATTCTTAGTTGGCCAGATATTTGGATGAAGATTTGTATTGGTCAGTAAAAGCTGCTTTCTTGCCTTTTTTGGCAGTTGAGTAAATCCATTTACCTGAAGTCTCGTCCTCTGGCTAATAGACCTCACCGTGAGCTGCGTGTGTGTCTGTTTCCTTCTGTGAGCTGGGTGGGGAAGGACAAGCTTGGAGTGAACGAGTGACCGCCCTTATTGCCACAGCAAGGGGGTTATCCTCTGAGGTGCTTCTCCCTCTTGGGTGGAGCTGCCCCTCCCCTCCCTCTCCCTTCCTGCCTTCCCTTTCCCAGCGCTTCTCGCTTCCCCTTTCTCTCTCTCCCCTTTGCTTCAGGGTCACAGGGTAGCATTGCCACAGAATTCATGCTGCTTTCCTCTCCAGCCTTAAAACCTGTTTGGGGATTTCTTCCGAGGTTTAGTTTTGCTTTGGAAAGCAGTTGTTCGTAGTTGAGGGCAGCTATATAAACATATTAAAATTAGAAGGCAGGGCCTGGACATGTCTGTGGAGAGTTCTGGAATTACCTCATTACAGCCCTAACAGATTTCTGTGTATTGTGGGTTTTATTTTTCTCTGCTCTGGTTTATTCATCAGTATTAGTCCATCTATTTTTGGATGAATCCTACATCTGGGTTGAAGTTTTTTGAAATTTTCATGAAATTTGTGGTCAATACCATTTTGTGAAATAAATGTACCCACTGTAAACCTTTGAAAGTAATTTAAGAGGCTTGTATATCATTTCACTTGGTACCAAAATCATGATTTATTCCAAGACATAACTCCTTTTTCACATTAGTGACCTTGAAACTATTTCCCTTCAAAATAACCTGGTATGCTTCCTACTTCTGTCATTTCTCCATTTCTTAAGTGATGTTTTGTATTTAAGTTTCTAATATGTATCTGAAGCTTAAGGTAATCCATGGCATTGGGGAATTTAGAGGTGAGTGATCAGTTAAAATAACTGAAAGGTACTTGAGTTAAACCTAGTATTTTTCCTGGAGGTTCCTTTTTCCTAGAAAGGAGGTAATACTCTTTTAAATAGAAAACCTGTGCAGAGAATCATCAAACAAGTACTCCACAAATACAACAGAAGTGATTAGTGTCTCACTATTAGAAACTGCATTTTAGGCTAGTAGAACCAATATACATCAAAAGTGTTACCAGTCTTTCTTAATGACCAAAAACATAGGCAAAATAAGAAGGGCAATAATGGCCCCGATTTTAGGTCTTCTAGTTTGGAGACATAAACAACATTAATTCAAGTCTAGTACTTGAGTTGGATATTTGTATTTAGAACTCGATATTCTTTTTTTAGGGGTCATTTGAAACTGAAATGTAGTCAAGTCTCACATTGGGGAAGTACTTTCCAATCAAGCCATTCTGTGCTCCCCTTACTCTCTTTGTAATGGCAGAAGCTCTTGCCGGATAACTAACTGTGTAATGGAAATCCCTGTCTCCGTGGAGAGCCTTTCCAGGGCAGAGACAGGATTCAAATAAGAGCTTTTATTTATTGACTGTTCAAACTGTATCTAGGCATGATGCTAAAAGCTTCATTTATTTCATTTAATTCCTGAAACAACCCAGTAATGGAGCACTTTCCATTTTACACACAAAAATATTAAGGCTTGACAAGGATTAAGTATATTACACAATGCTGTAACTGGCAAATGACATTTGAAGTTTGAATAGATCATGTTTACTCCAAATTTTTTACATTGTGTAGCTTGTGAGCACTAAACATAGCACCTATGTGAGTTAAATTATATTTAACATATCCTTTTATTGATTCCAGATAAAACTATTTGACACTTGTACCTGTGCTCCTATTAGAGAAAGCTAATTTCATCTCTGGTGATTTCCTCCTGTGGGAGTGAAGTATAGGAATTGTATTGGGAAATGAGAATTTTTATGATTCACTCTTAATGCTGCTCAGGGAGGAGGGCAGAATGAACCATTGTTTTATTCTAAAAATACACTTGGTTTTTAATACAATGTATGTAGATGGGGTTTTTTGTTTTTTTTTTTGCTTGCTCTCTGGGCTTTTTCTTGCTCATTCATTCAATAAAGTACAAGAAGGTGGCAGATTTTAAACACCTCCACAAGGAAATAGTATGTCAAGTTTAATATATGAACCGGTTTGTATGTTCACATCTCAATAATAAGCATTACCTGGTCTCCACAGTTCTAGAATGTAAAGATCTTTTTCTTTCAGAGACTTATGGACAAAATTTAAAAACTCAATGTTTTCATTTCATTTCATGCTTAACATTTACAATGAGGCTTCGGCTGGACAGTGAATCCAGATTCAGCGGGTTTTCCCCTCTTCAGCCCTGTCACCGCCCCCTCGATTGCCAGTGTTTCGCGAGAAGTCTCGTGGTGGCCCGTGGGGCACCCACCCCTCTAGTGGGATGTGTCTGCATCTTCCTCCTGATTGGTTTTGGGCTTGGGGAAGGCGTAGAGGTGAGGTGCCATCCTCGCCTCCCGAGAGCAGGGGTGCGCGCTGTTTGACCACCGGCCGAGGCGGTGTCAGCGCCTCCGTGCGAGGCTCCCTGGGCCGCCCTTGGGAGGGGGGCTGCACCTCAGAGGTGGGGCAGCTACGCAAGTTACTGGATACTTGCACACAGGAGAGATTTAACTCTTTTCCCCCTCTTATTTACTCGGTTATTTCTATCACTGGACTAAAGAGTATTTGTTTATTGGTATATGCTATTTACTGTGGTGGAAACTAGGTAATATAACCAGCTCCTGGTTGAGGTTTTCTCAGTTATCTTATTCCTGCTTCGGAACAAGTGGAGATAGTCATCAAGATCCAGTTGGAGTGTAATGCCGTCTCAGATAACGCAACAGAAACAATTCTTAGTAAGAGCTAGAGATTACAGTCTGCTGGGGATCCTGTGGTAGGCCCCTTGCCCCAGCAGTATTCAGGGATTCATGTCACCTTGTTCTGATCCAGGTAAATTTCCACACCTTTATCATTGTTACCTTTCTTCTTGCAAGAGGTGAGTAGTTGAGATGGACAGGACTCTGTAGGGAGCTGGCCTCATCTACAGAGACGTGCAGCCATGCCCAGGGTTCTGGCAGAACACACGAGATTCCGAATACAGTTGGTGGGGTGCCTGGCTGCGATGACTGTGGGGGACAGTACTTCCACGTCGGCCAGGATTATTTTTTGTTTTTATGTATTTAAACTTTCAGCTTTAGAACACAGTGGCCTTAATCTGGCTAATTGAGGATAAACCAATTTACTTTTTACCTTGTTTTCAGAAGGAATCCTTGACCTAGAAGTGCCCTGACATAATTAAAATGTCTTGTTTTCCTTTTTGGTTCTATTTTTTCTTGATTAGGGGTTTCAACCATAGCTTCTCTTCATTCTTGAACAGAATATCTGCTGGCACTGAAAACTTTATTATTATTAAAGTATAGGTGTGATTCTTCCTGGTAGTCCTACTATTGCCAGATTCCTGTAATTTAAAGGTTTTTTTGCTTTGTTTTTACAATTTCTTTCTGGTTTCTCAAGTGATAACATACACTTCTTGGCCCTTTAAAAGAGCAATACCATCTGTATATCACTATTGATTTATGAATGGGGGCAAAAATGTTTACTGGAGAACCTCCGGCTGCTAGTGACACACACACACCGGTGTGCTCCTCCCTAGGAAGGACCTTGCTGTGGGTTTCTGCATTGTGTGTGGGACACCAAGTATCTCATCTCAGACGTGGCTGAGGTGCTCGCTGATAGATGGTTGTTCACATACAGCAATGGGGAGAGTACAGCAGCAGTGAGGCAGGAAGAATGGTTTGGTGCTGGCATCCTTCCCTTTAAGCTTTGATAAATATTCTCTAAAATAGCCTTGTTATTTTGGACTACTTATAATTAAAAAACAAACAAGAAGAATTTGCTGGCACAGAATGTGCTTTTGTCTGGTTATTGTAAAAAGAATATAGGGAATTAACATACCTATATATTGTCAGGCAATGTTTCGGGAGAAAAAAATGTAGATATTCCTTTTACATCAGTCATGTCCTGATTGCTTTTCTACCTTTCATAATCTTCAAGATTGTTCTAAATATAATCTTTAAACTTGACCCAAATGGGAATTGTGCTTTTTCTCTGTTTACTCCCTTTCCCCCACATTGTATAAGTTCAACAGCTGTCTGACATGTAAGTTTAGGCAAAACTTAGTCCTGTATCTTCTTAGTGGACTGAGAAACTACAGTTTAGTCATATATTCGTAAAAATTTTACTTCTGATGCCAAAAGTAGTTACATGGCATTTATCTTATGAACTGTATGCTTTTTGAATTTTTAACCTACTTGACAGTTTCTTTAGGTCAGCTTTTGTCTTCCATATAAATACATGGTACCAATAAATAGAACCCATTTTACTTGCATATGCACATGAGATGTGTTGACTTAAGTAGGAGATGGCAAATTTATGATGCATCCACCTTCTACCATTTGCAGTTTTATGTTTATATACTGGATGCTTTTCTGACATTATGCATTTCACAATTTTTATAACCTGATAAACACTTCTTAGTTACACTCAACTTTGCCAAATCCTTACATTTTCCCATACTTGTTTCTAAAATTTTTTAAAGTCCGTATTACAGATACAGATAAAGGTCCCTTTATGTACCCCTTCCCAGTGCCCTTTTCTTTCCCAGAGGTTTTTCACTTGTCCTGAATATTAGGTTTATCATTGCCAAACAATAAAGTAGCATTTCAGAATTTCCCAGACTGAGCTTCTGAGAAACTTGAAGAGCCCTGAGAAAGAAAAGACTCCAGGGTCTCATTTTCACCTGCAGATCTGTAATACATAGTGAAGGCACTGAGGGCTCTCAAACAGTGAAATTCAGCACAGAACGCCACACACAATGCTGTGCACTGTTGCCTGGAATGTGCTTGGTGAAAACACTGCCTAGAGGTGTACCCTTTTTCAAGAACTAACTTTCCATTTTATCATTTTTTTTATTAATGTAACTATAGATTAGATGACAGAGACTAATAGAAATCGCTTCCAATTGATGTTGCCTGTCAGGTCAAGTTTAAAATCATTTTGTGAAAAAGGAAGGTAAAATGTACATACTCATTGATCAGTGCATAAGTTATGCTCCTTAATTTTTAAAATTCTTGAGCTTCCTGATATAGTGAAGTGTCTGGCTGTGGACCATGGCTATACATACACTTTACCTTAAACTGATCTGTTACATTTTATGTTCTTGTGGCTGGAAGTAGCCTGAGTTTGCTGTTAATGTTTGACACCTTTTCCTGAGTAACAGTTCTTCAACTGTCAATGTTGTACAAGATGGTACTTGAATTCTTTGTTTGCCTCTTTATTTCCTGTACTAGAAAATCTTGGTGCTTTTTGTAAGTTATGTATAAAAGACATTTTCTTAAGACTTGTTCATATGATGATTGATCCAGGAAAAATAAAATGGGAAAATGGACACTATTTCTGACCTTCAAATAAAACTCTCTATATTGGTTTTCAGACTGTTCACCGAACCTTGGAGTCCTACATATTGCCTCAAGGCAGGGTTCTTTACCTGTGTGGGGTGACAGGTCCCTTGTATCTGGTGAGGCTGTGAAGGAAAGATGAGGTTCTCCAAAAATGCACAGGGGCACAAGGTTTACACACCATTTCACGGAATCTAGGGAACTTCCTCCTGTAAGGGAAGAGTCCAGAAACAGACCTTGTTCCCTTCTGGCATCTGCCCTTTACTGCGCTACACTTTACAGTTCTGAGACAGGAAATAAAACAGGCAGGCTCCACTTTGTACAGAAGTCTAAGTGTAGGACTGTTCACCAAATCTCTAAAGACTAAACCACCAGTCCTGTTATTCTTACAATTTTAGTGTTTATTAAAGAATCTGTATTGTATTTCTAGGGTCTGTCTACCTTTTTAAAAACAACACATCAAGTGTTTTTTCATTAGAAAACTATTTTTTGCATTTTGCACCTTGCTATTTCAGGCATAGTCATGTAACATTTTTTAAAAAGATTTTTCTGTTTTTGTGGAGAAATGTCTAAAAATCCTGCATTCTGTTTATTTAGGAAACTTTTTTTATTCTATTAATTTTTAGTTTGTGGAGAAATGTCTAAAATCAGTTTTTAGTTTGTGGAGATGTGTCTAAAAGTCCTGCATTAGTTTTATTTAGAAAACTTTTTTATTCTATTAATTTCAAAGTTACTGTACCTGGACTTTATAATTCTACAAAATCTTCCCCAGTATTCAGCCCTCCTTTTGTTTTGTGGTCACATATTTTAAAGGATGAGCACCTGTTAGGAGCAGCCCATTAACCTGCTACTGGGAGCGTTTACTTTGAATTAATGAGCACATGAAAACACATAAATGAACACGTGAAGGAATGATCAAATGGAATAAGTAAAATTGTTTACCACCCATTCAGTGATAATTCTAAAGCATAAAAAGGTTGCTTTTTGCAGATAATTATTAGGGATAATAACCTGAACAATTCTGGTGTATCTGACACAGGTTAATCCACAAAGCAATGCCAGCTGTCTCCAAGAAATGCTACTTCTGTCACTGCTCATTTAGCTAGGACCCTCAGGGAATGTTTAGCTAGCCAAGAAATGCAAAATTAATTGCCCCCAAGGCTTAATCTCTACAAGTAACCCAGTAAATCAGCTAATTGGGAATTATTTCCTTTCAGCTAGGCCAGGGTGGCCACACTCTGCGGAGACTGTCGTGGTCTTCAGAATAAGTCCGATTCTCAGATAGTTGAAAGAAGTAATTCTTATTTATGCATTTGTTTTTAGATTATTTTTCCCCTAAATTCTTCCCTTGTGGACTTCAGAGAGATGGGACTATTTACAGAGCTTTGTCTTCTACAGCCTCTTCAGTTGCATTTGAGAAAGTGAAAGGTGACAAGTGAAACAAAACCTAAGGAGCAGTGCCTCTTCACCTGATGTCACCTGTAGTGAGGGGCACGGGGTGGCGAGGGGGGAGCCTGGCCGCCTCTGGCTTCCGGCCCAGCCCACCCGGGCCTGAGTCTTCTCTTCAAGTGAACGTACAGGGGGCAGAGCTGGGGGTCTGCCCCAGCTGTAGATCAGCTGGAGGTGATTTTTTATTGTTGTTGCTGTTCATCGTGTATCCGAGATAGGGACTAAAAAGAATATGATTATGGGAATTTAAGGAGAAAGTTTCTTTAAGTGGGTCGTGCAGTCACTCAGTGTTGTCTGATAGGACTTTCTGTGATGATGGAAATACCCTTCACCCTTGCCGTCCAGGACTTTAGCCACTAGTCAGATGTGGCTGTTGGGCACTATGTCAGTAGTGTGACTGAGGAACCAACTTTTTAACTTTAATTAAAACAAATTTAAAAAGCCACATGAGGCGCATTTCTACTGTATTGGACAGTGCAGGTTAAATTCTTCCTAAGTAGTTAAAGGTAATTCTACACATAGGTGTATTGTGACAGTCTTGTTCTTTATATAATGGTTTGCAACTGGAATCTCTCAATTTTAGAACTTGGCAATTCTGAAACTCTAAACCTGCAACTCTCATTACTGAAATCTTTCCTTACGCATATCCTCCATGTCTAATTTCAGTCAGGTATGGATCAGGTACCTTTCCCAGGGACCCTGGAGTCTGCATGGGAACCACATGCCTGTGTCGCTGGCTTCTTTGGCCCTTTGCCATACTCCATAGGACCACACGTGCTTAGTTCCTACGGGCCACCTGTAGACTGTCAGCCTCCTGCAGGGCTGCACATTTTATGCCTATGTTAAGCTGTGTTGTACTGGGAGCAGGTTTGGTGGTATTGGAAGTTTTATCTTCATATTTTTTATGAGCCTGGTTCTGAAAAGTTTAATTAAATGCCACTTTTAAAAACAGTCTTTTATTGGCAATGAGTTTTTAGTCCTAAAATCTTAAGCCATTAAATTAGCAGAATATTTTTACTAATGAAATATCTGGTCACCATGCCATAAAAGCAGTTGTCACTTGAATTTTCTATTAAATCTGTGTTAATTGCTTCAGCACTGCAAATACTACATTCCTGAAATTTCCATGTTTGGGTGTCACAAAGAGCTTTGAATGATTCTATCCTGAAATTCTGACCCTTTGCAATTACAAAGATTAGCTTAGAGGCATTCTTCAGGGTTAATATTTGAGGATGATAAGCCATGTGTTTCGGACTCAATCATTTTTCTGTGATATAATTTTTATGAGATTAAGTTTTTACATATGGCACACCAGCTTTCCACACTCGTAACATCCATGAAGTTCAGCCATTACTGAGTCTGAAAGCTGTCAGTGAAGAAACGCATCGCCACTGAGGCTCTGGAGCGCCTGTTCCTGGGGCCACAGGCTTGGTTCTGCGTGATTGAGACCGGTCATTCTCTTGAGTTTGGAATAGAGGGGAACCAGAGGCAATTGCCATTAAATATAGTTATAAAAGCACATGTTAGAAACTTCAGGGAGTACAGAAAAGCAAATGTCGTCTTGTTCCCATACTGTTTCTTCTCCCTAAAAATCTGTTAGCAACTTGTTTCCTTTTTTACAAATGGAACTAAATTATCCCTTTTTTTTTCTGCTTATATATATTTTAGGACTCAGGCTTACTTAGGCATAAGTTACATACACTAACATTCACCCTTTTTAGGTGTACAGTTCTAGGAATTTTGACAAATACATACACCATAATGAAGATTTGGTGATTCAATCCCTCTAAAAAGTCCCTCTCTCTCTGACGAGAATTAGGCTTGAGATGGATTAATGATTGTACATTGAGCATTGACCCCCCTATACTGAATTTTATTGTTGTTAACAACCATTTGATCAATAAATATGAGAGATGCCCTCTCAAAAAAAAAAAAAAGTTCCTCTCTCTGCTTCATTTTTCCTCTTTCTGCCTCAGTTTTAACAGTTGTATTCACTAGTATAGAGTCACCTAAATTTTCCTAAATAATTCTTCATTGATTCATATTTAGGTTGTTTCCATTCAAACAAGGTGCAGAAAATATCTTTGTACATAAATCTTGATGGTTTTTTATAATTACAGACATATTTCTAGCTGAGAAATTATAGAATTAAAGGCTATGATCATTTAATATTTCAATAGATGTGGCCCAAAAAGTTGTGCTTTCCAATCAATTGGAATGACAGCGCCTGCTACTCTTTTATTCAACACTGGGTGTCACCAGATTCAGTTTTCCTAATTTGATAGAGAAAATATTACCCAGCAAAGGAACTTGCATTCAGTAGTGTTTTTTCCTCATTTTTAAAAACTAGAAAAGTTCATGCACACACAAAATCTAATCCATATTATTTATGGTCAGAACCACAATAACATTAGAAGAAATCTGAATAGAAAAACTTTGACTTTGTTTTCACTAACCCAATATAATTTTTATTTTCCTGCTTATCTATATCTACATCTTTGTGATTATACATGTAGATTTTTATAATCATCCTCACAGCATGTACAAGTATTATTTTGTTTGCTTTTTAAGAGTTCACTTTATTTTATGAGTGTTTTTCTTTGTTCCCAGAACCTTTATTTTAATAGTGGCATATTCTGTTTTTTGGCTGTTTCACAGTTGATATAGTCATTTTATTTCTAAAATTCGTTTACACTTTCTCACTGTTACGCAGAAGGTTTCAAATACCATCTTTTAAATAGTTTTTTAAAATCCCTTTAAGTTATTTTCCTAGGATAAATTTCCATGATTCTTTTGGATTTGTATATCAATCCTGACATACTGTCATTGGAAGTAATTTTTGTCACTTCTTTGGGAAGTCAGTAATTTTTTTTTATATCTGAAGAAGGAAGCAGTTATATATCTATTTGCTTCTGTGCTGGTTTAATCTATTTTTCCTCTTTCCTTTAAAAATTATAAAAATAATATATGCTGCATGTGGAGATTTCATACCCACTTTCCAGAGGTAATCAGTCCACTTTTATTTCATGAATTAAATTTTTTTAAATGAGTTTTTTAAATAGGTCACTTGTGTTTTTCCCAGTATCTAAAAATTACCAAATGATATACAGTGAAGTCTCCTGACCCTTGTCCATGTACCCCTGTTCCCCTCCTTGGAGGCAATTAATTTGACCAGATTCTTGTGTATTGTTTCAGACACACTTTATGCATTTCTGAGCAAATGTATGTGTATGCTCTGTGTATGTGTGTCTCTTTTTAAGCCACAAATGTTAGCATGTTGCACATATTTTCTTAGATAACTTTATTTATACTTGATTTTTTAAAGAGGTAATACATGCACATGGTTCACCAGTAAAGTAATGTAAAGGTCCGAAGAGGGCCTTGCTGTCCGAGTTCCCGATCTGCCGCTTGCCAGCCTGCAGTGAGTGTTCCTGCACACACAAGCACGCCGGAAGGTGCATCATTGTGTTTTCTTTTCCTCCCAGAGCTCATAGACCAGTCCTCGCACATCTGACGCTGCGGTATAGAGTCGGCATTAGAAGCCGT